CACTAATGGGTGTTAGTCATTATTGTGTGTTAGCCACTAGCGGGTGTGAGCCACTAACGGGTATTAACCACTAGCTGCTGTTAGCCATTAATGGGTGTTGGCCACTAGCGGATATTAGCCATTAGCAGGTGTTAGTCACTAGTGGATATTAGCCATTAGCAGGTGTTATTTCTCTCTGTTTCTGGCTGTTACCCAACATATCGGATGGCGGGAGGAGCTCTTACTCTCCAGGAAGTCGAGCTGGCAGCCCGGGACGCTGAGGCTCATGAAGTTGAAGCCTCTTGTTGGCCGACACCAGCCCGTTTTCGCCCGCTGCCCGGGCGCTAACCCCTGTAGCATGCTGCTCTTCCCCGCGCCGTCCAGGCCCAGAACCAGGACCTGCCGCTTCCCGGGCTCCTCCTCCTCCTGCCGGCACAAACACATTTCCAGGAAAAGCTGCTAAGGGCGGATAGTTCCCTCTGATTCTCCGTAAAACCACGAAGAGTTTTGGGAAAAAGAATAAAGAGATCATCTTTTTTACAGCTAAAAATGGTTCGAATGACGTGGGTGTTAGCCACTAATGGGTATTAGATACTAGCGGGTGTTAGCCATTGGTGGGTGTTAGCCATTAGCTACTGTTAGCCACTAGTGGGTGTTAGCCACTAATGGCTATTAAATACTAGCGAGTGTTAGCCATTGGCGGGTGTTGGCCATTATCTGCTGTTAGCCACTAGCGGGTGTTAGCTACTGTTAGCCACTAGTGGATGTTAGCCACTAGCTACTGTTAGCCATCATCTGCTCTTAGCCACTAGCTACTGTTAGCCATCATCTGCTGTTAGCCACCAATGGGTGTTAGTCATTTTTGTGTGTTAGCCACTAGCTGCTGTTAGACACTAGCGGGTGTAAGCCATTATCTGCTGTTAGCCAATATTTGCTGTTAGCCATTACCTGCTGTTAGCCATTAGCTGCTGTTAGCTAGCAGGGGTTAAAAGGTTTAACTGAAGCTGAGTTTGTGTCCTGAGCTGGAGGCAGAGCAGCAGAACAGCACGCTTCGCTTTGATTTAGCCGATAAGAACCAAAGAAAAGCAGCATCGCGTTGGAGCCTGAAGCTAAAACCGAAGATTTGTGGGGAAAGAATAAAGATAGCATCTTTTTTCCAGCTAAAAATGGTTTGAATGACGTAAATAAATCAAATCAGACGGTTTCAGACCTGATTCAGTTATAAACACACGAAAAAATAAACCAACAGCAGCTCCCATAATGCACCTCTCCTCCCTCTGGGGGGCTCCCATAATGCACCTCTCCTCCCTCCCATAATGCACCTCTCCTCCCTCCCATGATGCATTCTCTGTCAGTTGTAACTAAAACTTAGTTTTAAATGATTAAATTGTAAAATGATTCGAATCTAAATGATTAAATAGTCAAATCTCACCACTCTGCCTTTTTAAAACAAAGTATCTGTGTTGATTACGGATTATTTTATGCATTTATTTATAATCTATAGATATTGATCCATATAAATGATGATTAAATAGTAAAATCTTGTCTTAGAAAGATCAAATTTTTCCCAAACAGCAGTTTCTGACAGTTTTAAATAAAGTTTTCTTTTGGTTAAAAGGTATAAATGATGATTAAACAGTAAAATCTCGTCACTCTCAGCCCTCCATACTTTAAAAAAAAAAGAAGTGTTACATTATAAAATTATCCATGTTGTTTACAGTCTTTTTGAAGCATTGATCTATAATATATGTATATTGATCCATATAAATGACGATTAGATGGTAAAATCTTGTCTCAGAGAGCTTAAATTCTCATAAAACAGCAGTTTATGTCAGTTTTAACTAAAGTTTTCCTTTTGTTTGAAGGTATAAATGATGATTAAACAGTAAAATCTTATCACTCTCTGTTACATTATGAAATGATCCGTGTTGTTTACAGGCTGTTTGATGCATTTTTCTCTGATTCTCTCAGTTCTAATTAAAAATACATTGAAAAAAAATGTGTTTAAAGATATAAATGATGATTAAATAGTCAAATCCTGTCACTTTTTTCCCTCCATAGAGATCTGAGAGAGCTCAGACTTTTACCAAACGCCACTTTCTGTAGTTCTAACTGAAGTTATGCTTTAGTTTGGAGGCATAAATGAAGATTAAACAGTAAAACAGGGGCTGAGTCCCTGTTTTCTGATAAGCTGGGCCTGTTTTTCTCGGCTTTTTGGACTTTGTTGCCCTCTTATCTCCGTTTACGACTTCCAGCTCACGTTTCTCTGGAGAATCTGCTCTGATTTCTGCTCCTCTGAGTCTCCAGCCAAAAGAGAACAAGAAGTTCCCTCATTTAATCCCCTTTTATCTCCGTTTTATCCCCGTTTTTTTGCCTCTCTGATGCGTTCAAATGCCAAAAAACAGTAAAAAACCTGAATTTTATCTGATTAAAATGTCAAATTCTGTTTGTTTCCTTCTGTTCCTGAACAGAAAATTTAATTTCTTCCGGTTTTAATCCTTTTTTTACGCCTCTTCTGTCTTTGACTGGGAGTAAAACTCCGATTTCATCCTTTCCTAGAACAACTTTTCAGGAATTTTCTGGGAATTTCTTTGAGGAAAACCAACTAAATATCTCTTGCACTGAAAAAAATAACTCTTTACTTAAAAAACATATTGTAAGAATTTGCACGCAAATGATTTACGTCAAATTTAATGCTGCAATATCAAGTAACACTCAAAGTAAAATTGACTTCCCATAAAACATAACAGTTGTGAAAATATTAAATAACATTTACGTAATTACATACTTATTTAAAGTTATATTTATGTAAACAAACTAAGTAAAGTCTACTTGTTTTTCATAGGCAGGAGCATCATTTTACTCAAAGTTTTAACTACATTTCATACATCTGTAGCATTTGCTGTTTTAGTGATTATTAGGTAACTTAGTAGATATTAATTATTTTTTTTGTGCTTGACATTTTAATTTACTTTGTTGCTTTATGTTACATTTCTCCCCTTTTCGCCCCCCTTTAACCACCTTTCTACCAAAACCCCGCACATCTTCATCACCATCCTCTTCCTCACGCGACTCCTCATCACGTTAACGCCCCCTTCCTCTATGGCTACCGTGATGCGTTCAAATGCCAAAAAAACAGTAATAAAACAGACTTTTATCCGATTAAAATGTCAAATTCTGTTTGTTTCCTTTTGTTCCTGAACAGAAATTATTATTTCTACCGCTTTTAATCCTTTTTTTACACCTCTTCTGTCTTTGACTGGGAGTAAAACTCTGATCTCATCCTTTCCTAGAACAACCCCCCCCCCCAGATGTGCCCCTCTCTGCTTTTTCCATCAAGAATCAGCTCTGATTTCTACTAAATGAGCTATAGTGAAACAGATAAATCGCTGGAAATTAAACTGGGAATAAATGAATTACAAAAATAAATAAAAAATACGAATATGTTTGTTGAAACAATCAAAAACTGACTAAACTTTGAATTTCTGCCTTTTTCCTCAAGTCAAAAACTGACCATTTATGCTTTTCTCCTCCAGAATCAGCTCTGGTTTCCACTAAATGAGCTATCGTGAAATAGATAAATCGCTGGAAATGAAACTGGGAATCAATTAATTACAAACAAAAAATATATATATATGAATATGTTTGTTGAAATGATCAAAAACTGACTAAACTTTGAATTTCTGCCTTTTTCCTCAAGTCAAAAACTGACCATTTCTGCTTTTCTCCTCCAGAATCAGCTCTGGTTTCCTCTAAATGAGTTATATTCCGGCAGATGTTATACTCAAACATGTCTCATCGTTGCTTTATGAGCATTAAAAGGTTGAAGAATTCTCCCCAGATTGGTTTTATTTATTTCTCTGAGTTTTGGGCAGATTGTTGTTCCTCTCGGGGATCTCTCCCGTTTCCCGTTTTTCTGGGAGACTCAAAGTGGATCTGAGGATGTTCCATGTTTAAACACCAGGTTTTAAACATGGGGGGGGTTAGACCACAGCTTCTGAGGTAAAAACCAACACAGAGGCATTTTTAAGCTTTTTTAAAGCTTTTTTTTTTGCCTTTTAAAGCCCTTTGACGCCTTTTGTTAGCATTTCTAAGATTAAAAGAAAATATTTTTTAAAACCATTTTATAAAACATTTAAAAATGTTTTAGAACCCCTCCCCCTCCATCTTCCAGCCCCAGACCGGCTCTCTCTCCCCTCAAACCGGGTCAGAATACCGGAATAAACACCGGGAATAAAGCCACAAACCCCCCCGCGGTGAATCCCTTTGATCCCCGGCGGCATACCTCTTTGATCGCGCGGTACTCCGCGTGCGGGGACCACATCCTGCGGCGGTAGAAGAGGCTGAGCGCGAGGAAGAGCGCGGAGCCCAGCGCGGCCACGGCGGCGGTCAGCGCGGCGGAGGCGCGCCGGAGCAGAACCATCCGGGGCCGGGGAGGGAAAGGAGTACAGTGGGGGGGGGAAAGGAGGCCTGGGTCCGGGAGGAGGGCAGGCCACGCCCCCCCCAGGCAGACGCACGCGCTGAGAGAGGTGAAACGCCCCCTAACGCACGTGGTACCGCTGTCAAACGCGTTATACCTGTTAAATGTGAATATGTGACGCTCTTATTTTGATATGGAATATTGTGTAGGTTCAGCCAATCAATCACTTGTATGTGATAAGACGTGTGATATACCGCTGATATGTTTATGTTTATGTTTATGTTCATGTTTATGTTTCTGCATTTGGCAGACGCTTTTATCCAAAGCGACTTACAGAGTAGACACAATATTACATTTCTCATCACTATGACAATAAGCTATCCAGAGGAGAAACCCTGATCAGAGTCAGTGGTGAGATAGAGGTAGAGGTAGAGGTAGAGATAGAGGTAGAGATAGAGATAGAGATAGAGGTAGAGATAGAGGTAGAGGTAAAGATAGAGGTAGAGGTAGAGGTAGAGATAGAGATAGAGATAGAGATAGAAGTAGAGGTAGAGGTAGAGGTAGAGATAGAGATAGAGATAGAGGTAGAGATAGAGACAGAGGTAGAGGTAGAGGTAGAGATAGAGATAGAGGTAAAGGTAGAGGTAGAGGTAGAGGTAGAGGTAGAGATAGAGGTAGAGATAGAGATAGAGGTAGAGGTAAAGGTAGAGGTATAGATAGAGGTAGAGGTAGAT